AATCAGGCCCAAAGTGATGGGGCCAGCAGACTATGGACGGAAACCTCTGAAGCCATGAATCCAAATAAGTCTTTCTCCCGTTTAACTTGTCAGTGTTGGATATTTTGTCACTGCAGCAAAAGCTAACTAACACAACCCCTTCCATCTTACTGTTCAAGCATGTGAAACTCCAATTATCCAGAAAACTCCTAATACATGTTGGGCATATATAAATTATGTAGGCCCAACAGTTTTAAGTAATGTTTTATTGCCTAATTAGTTTCAACACTGTTGGAAGAAAGGGAGAAGGGAGAGGAGGAGGAGGGAGGGAAGCACTGACAGCTTGTCCACACGCTGCCCATGGTACGGTGCGTGGCCAGAGTGTCACCAGAGGAAGGGAGGACAGTGGGGGAATCTCAGGTCCTCAGAGGGAGTCAATAGCACAGGTAAAGATTTACTTAAGGACAACAAAGAAGGTCACACTCAGAGGGAGTGCAGGCAACCCTCGCCTCTCAGAGGAGAGGAYGAACAGCTCAGGTTTGGGCTCTCTGGTGACATGTATGATTTTCACAGGGTGGAGTCTTAAGCGCTCGAGCCATCATGAGATTTTGATGATTTGGAAAATRTTTACAAAATTCCTTGGAAACCAAGTTCCATGGCAACCACCTACCCTTGGAAGTCAGAGGCTCCCCTTTGGTCCAACAGTCTAGCCATTAATCACTCATGGGCATGCTGTATAGGTTCCCCAGGTAGATGACATTTTAATTTATAACATATCCAATATCTTACAAGCATATACTGAATGTTCTGTTGATCTGAACCTGAAGACACAGCCCAACTAACTTGTGTTTTCAGAGGTCTCCATTTTCTAAGGGTCTCTCCCCACGGGCCTGTGTGGGTTTACCTGTCTCAGAGGCCGTACCCAAGGATGGCTTCCCAGCCCATGCAGCAGGATGGAGCAAAAGCTAACCAAACATAACCTCCTGGACCCCTGGTCCCAACCCCTCTGCCCCTACCTCTCCTGGGTCCACGCCCCTCCCTCACTGAACCTGCTCAACACTCGACCACCTGTAAGCCAGGGACAGGCCCAGGATGCCAAGCCATCCTCTGGCACCACCTTCCCGCCTCCTCCCCTTCAAGGCCTCCCACACTCCTCAGTGTTGTCCCCCATACTCCTCAAGTCCACCCAGCCCTGCTCCTGAGACTGCTCTGCCCATCCTCAATCCAAGATTACCTGTGGGACTCGATGTGACCCTGTCAGACACAGTATCTCCTGGCTCCCCAGCCTCTCCCTGGCTGAGGCCGGCTGTGCCCAATCCCTGCTATATGAGAATGACCCTCAGACCTCTCCCTAGACCTCAGGACTAGGGCTCCGCCTGGATGATGCACGAGCACGTCAAACTGAGGCGTCCAAAACAGCCCCGCTTCTCTCCCTCCCCCACCCCACCCACATGGCTCTGCTCCTGTCTCAACAGAGAACACCCATGTCCACCCAGCTGCCCAGATAGGGATCCCTGTGTCGCTCTCACCCTTCCCTTTTCTCACCTTTGCACCCAGGGCCAGCACTCAGAGATGGTGCGCCTGGTTCCCCCAGATCTTCTACCTCTCTCCACTGCCACTGTCAGCTGCCCCGTGAGGCCCCATCTTCTCTCTGTCCTAACAGCCTCCAAACTCACCCACCTGCYTCAACATCTATCCTCTCCAACCATTTTCCTTCCTGTACTTACCTGTGAACTCCTGAAACACAAACTTGACTAAGAACCTCTTTTCCTTAAAATCTTTCCTGACCCTAACCCTCCAGAATAATAACCACGMTCCTCAGTATGGCTCAGAACTCTGTTGTAACCTGGCCTCATCCGGCTGTCTTCATCTCTGACCTTTCACCTCCTGGAGCCCAATGCCCCAGAATATAGGACTTCTAGTGTCTTGTACAGCAGTAGGTGGCCAATAAAACCTRTGAAGCCAAGCAGAGTGTCAAAAGAGCACTGCTAACAAAGAGTCTCTCCAAGGTATGGTGTGAGCTGGGTTTCAAAGGATGGTCACATTTTTACCAAAAGTAAGGGCAACATGGAAAAGCGGCTTCACAGGTATGACGGTTCAGGGCCACCTCACACAYACAATGTTGTGACATTGGTCTGAGCTGTAAGCATTCATGAGTGTATGTAAAAGGTAAGACATGTCACTGGGAATACAGGAAATATGCCCCACAGTAATCCTCAGTGAGGTCTAGTCCCATGCCCCTGAGACACAGGACATCCCAGTGTGGCCTAGAATTAGAAGTTTCATTCTGGGTGATAAGCTGTAGCATGAAGTGTTTCTCACTGCATTACAATCCTTCCAAAATTCCCCATCCCCGTAAGATGAAATGGCACGCGCTGCCTTTGGCCAAAGCCAGGCACCTGCAGCAGAGAGTCATGAGGCCAGGTGCTGGGACATCCCAGAACCACAAGACCCACCCAACTCCTGACGGCATGGAAATCAGCCCCAGTCATTCCAGATTTGAGAGTGTGGCTGCAGGACACAAAGAGGAGGCCATTTCAGAAAAGACCACAGAAATGGGACAATAAGTTGAGAAGTTTAGCAAATAGTCCCCAGCCTCCTAACCTAAGAAGCTACCCTTGACTGGAAGGGAAGTGAAGTCATTAAATTAGATTTTTATAAATGAACCTTTGGCAATTTTAATGTCAAGCAGCAATGGCGCCTAAATCCACTTTAAAGCAGCTGTGTGACAGGGCCAGCCGCCCTCGGGTGCCTGACTCGCAGGACTTCAGGGTCATTGTGCTCAATATACCTGTGCAGGGGGCTAACCCTGAGGCCCATGCGAGAGAGGTCTCACCACCATTGGCAGCAGGGCACCCTCATCCTCTGGACCTCCTCAGGGTTCCTCCCGCACGGTCACTATCAAACTCCACAACTTCATGTGAAACTCCATATGTGAAGAATGGGGAAGCACCCCTTCTCCCCGGGCCCTTCCCACCATCCCCCTGAACCTGGGGCCAGTCCTCTGGGGAACAAGATGCTTATCTGAAAAGAGACCAGAACAAAGAGACAACTCCCACCCCTCTCCCTCTTAGAGGGAGCCCACAGACATCTCATTCTTGGCYGCGCATGGAGGCTGGGTAATTACCAGGCGATCTAGCTCAAGCCCCTTGGCCTGCTCACCTTCCACTAAAATGCATGGTACAGCATGATCATGAAATGTGCTTATTAATTTTATTCATTTGACACCGCGCTCTTCTGCCCTGAGCTAGATGTTAGGAGAAAATGATAGGGATGGATTGTGCTCCTGTCAGGCTCCCCGAGACTTTCAGAAAACCAAACCATCAAAGGCCATCTGCCACCCACTAGCCAAGCATTCAAGATGACCCCAAAGGTGCCAACAGAATGTTATTGATGCAGATCAACAAGGGAGCAACGGCAGGACAGCAAGCCAGGCCCAGTGTTCAAGCTCCCCGAGGCCTCCCAGGAGAGGGACCCCAGGGCCCACCCTCCCACAGGGCGAGCGCTCAGCCTGTCTTGATTCACCATCCAACTCATCCAAAGACACTTTGGCTTCTYAAATCAGAAACATTTTTATTAGCTTTCCTAAAAGTTTTATGGCAAAAGCCATACCTAGTGGTTCTACTTTATGGAAAGTTTTACATTCCAACAGGGCTTTGAAGACAGGCAGCAGGTAACCCTCAAACCTTTGTCAAAAAAGATCCCCTCGTTCTTTCACTTTTAAAATGTTTAAAACATTCTGAAAAGTTGGGAAAGTGATGTGGAGCATTTTAACAGGCCCCTCTGCCTGCACTCAGACCCACACTGACTCACCTGGCACAGCCTGTGTGACCRCAGCAGTTCTCAGTTGGGCTGATTTTACCCACCCTTCCCTCCTCCTGGGATCATCTGGAAATATCTGGAGACATTTCTGATCATCTCCACTGGGGGAAGAGTGGCAGCTGCTACTCCCTGGACTGGGTGGAGGCCAGGGACGTTCAGCTCCTGTGATGCACAGGAGTCCCACAGCACAGAGCTGCAGGACTGTCTGGCCCCAAATGTCAACAGCACTAGACTAAGAATCCGGGACTCAGGGCTTCTTCAGGACCAGGCATCCGGGCCTTCCCACCCCAGGAYGTTAGATGCTGACCTAATCACTGTGAGGTGTTTTTTTTTCTGTGCTGGCTAAGGAGACCAGCACTCTTCTATTTTTATGTATTCTTGATATACATTTTTAATGGACAAGAATAAGGTGTAAACAAAATAGGAAGTAAAAATAAGATCACCTTAGAATCTCAAACACAGGATGACATTCACCATTAACCCCCCTGGTGTCACTCTGCACTCCCTGTGGGAATTTGTCACTGAACTAACAGAAGGGCCAGTCCTGTCGTATGGGACTACTGTGCACAGCACGAGGTGTGGGGCAAAGCAAGTGCTCCACCAAGCGTGTGCTTGGGGGAGGTTTGGTCCCGATTAATCACCATATCCAAGGATGAGGACTCTGTCACCTCACTTCTTAGAGCTTAAGTTCTAATTGACAAAGCAGAGACAAAACTGTGTGTTCTCYCAGACTTCCAGGGACTCAGAGAGCTAAAAGAATTCACGGATAGGACATTTCTGTGAACTGCAAAGAGCCATTCGGCGTACGACAACGCGTTTGTAGCATTTATACATGTATGACAACCACCAGGGTCTTTCACAGAGTTTTGGATCCTTGTCATGAAATGTCACAACTAGAAGTGACTTTGGAAATCAGTGAGCCCAACCCCTTAATTTTTCAGAAGGTGAAAATGACCGTCACTGAAGTCAAATGACTCAGCCACACTCAAAGCTAGGATACAGCCCTGACTGGCTCCRTCTTCTGACTCCCAAACCAGCACATTCCCAGAGCCCTCCCACTGGCACTGGTCTCCCAMCTCTGATTAAGTTCCTAGAGGGAAGAAGCACATCTTACACACAGGGTCAGAAGATCTCRGACACAGGAGGTAAATATTTACTGAATCAGTGAGCAAAGTGTACAAACTAGTGTCTTGACTCACTACATCATAGCCTGCTGGGGCTCGGTTCCGGGAAGCCACCACCCCGACTCCCGTGATGGGGTCCATGGACGTCTCTGGCAAGGCTTCCGAAAGGTCTTTGACTTCAGGCATGGTGGATTGGTCCTGGTTCAGAAAAAGAAAAAGAAAGCACAGAATKCAAACTTAGTGTTTAAGACAAACAATACAAAGTCTCAGCAACCAGAACCATAATACACAGCAATTGTGCCCAGCCACACGCCACACACCTGAGCTGGCTGACCCTTCACTCAGACCAAGAATTCAATCACCTCTGGCCTCTGCTCTCCTCAAGTGAGCTTTGAAAACTGAGGGCTTGTCCCTGTCTGCTCCCAGGAGGAAATTTCAACTCAAACCCAAAAGCACATCATTCTTAACTCCACCGTCCAGCTGTCTGATTTTGTAACAGATACCAGCAGCTCCACTGAGGATCGCTCAGACATGGCTATGTCTAACGACAGCCTCTGTTTCTCTGCCTTCTGCTCACTCCTTCTGGAGGTGTGGGCTTCCAAGCGCACTGCCTCTACCGTGCCGTGCCGAGGCTGAGCTCTGCAAACATGCAAGCAGCTTTGCAAATACAGAGAAGTGTTCTGGGCACTGGGCAAAGGCAGAGCATTGAGTTCAGGCTCTATCACATTCCAGTGGTGACCTAGAGCAAGAAGCCAAACCTCCTGGAGCCTCAATTTTTCTCTACTATAAAATGGAGTCATGATACTTACACTCTGAGAATTGGTGCAAGAACTAAGAGCATCCAAGTAAAAGAAGGGCTTGGATTGGAGAGGTCCCTGACATGGAGTGGGCACTTAATAAAAAAGCAGATGAGACTGGCAGAATTGGGGCAACAGACCCAGAGTGACTGGCCAGAAACAAAGGCAGCACCACCCCTAGAGGACTGGCAGATCCCTTTGTTGTGTTTAACCCCAGGTCACGTGGGCACTTACTCAAAGCTAAACACTGACAATGACCCTAATTCTTGCTGGTGAAAGGGAGGGGAAATGGAATTATTCTGCTGCTGCAGACTACCTCTTGACAGTGCCAGAGGAGACAGGTGTAGCGTGGACAGCACTGTACTCAGGCAGTCCAAGTGGCCAGTGCACCAGAAAGCAAATAAAGAAGGCAACACCTTATGTAAATGAACTTAAGTACTTTTAAAGAAGCAGCAGTGAAAAGAGCAAGTTAAATTCCACCTCCTTCTGTAACAATTAAACTCCACTGACTATAGTTCTGCCAGCTCTCTTAAGGCCAGTTACTGCTTCAAAAGAAAACCAAACACCCTGCCTAACTAGGCAGGTAGGAGGAACATTCTTAGCSTGGAATCAGAAAAGGCAGGGCTGAAGGATGTTGGCTCAATGGTAGAGTGCTTGCCTCGCATACACGAAAACCTGGATTGCACCCCCAGTACAGCAGCAGGGAAAAGAAAATCAGAAAGAACAGGGGACCACTAGAAATGACTGCAGGCTGYTAATTAGGAACAGTCAAAATGCTGCATGCAAGTCACACATACAACCAGTGGAACCCACAGAAAGCTACAGAAACGGACTTGCCAATGCATTGATAAACTTGCCCAAGTCTAGGGCAGGGGTAGAAACCATACTGCATCATTTCTTATTTTCAAATTTCATTTACCAGGCAGGTTTATCTGCATAAAGCACGAAGGTTAGTGCTTCCTGTATCCAGTAGGCATTAAATAAATATTTATTGAGTGGCTATGCAGGCAGGCCCCCAATACAGATTTTGAGTTAAATATCTGTAGCTGCCTGTTCAAAACAAGCACTGATCAAATAGTCTGCACTCAAAAAATCGTGTCTTATTGGGAACGTGAAAACGACGTTGCTGCAGCGTACAAGATACTGGTACCTGCTATCGGTTACCAAAAGTGCTTTGCAAAAGTAACGACTCATTAACAGAATGGACGAATTCTGCCAGTGCTCACTACCGCACTGAGGACTGATAAAGAGCAGGTGGGTACTTGTTTGTTAAGACACTACTGCCTCTACTATCAGAGCGAGGGAAGGTGAAAGACAAGGGGTGTGTGGGTGGGGGGACCAGGTGAGCAGCCATCAGAGGCCTGGGATTCGCCGCCCGCTCGCCCCTGTCAACCGCGGCCGCTGCCAACCGCAGGAGGCGGTCTCCCAGGATGCACCGGGCGGCCCAGCAGCCTCCAAGATGGCTGCGGGCGGCCTCCAGCTGGGGCGGACAAAGGAGYCTGGGCTTCCGCGCAGCCCCGGCCTGGCCAGCCTGCAGGGCCGCAGACACAGCAGGCCCCTGCCGCACGCCCCCGCCCTTCTCCCCTTCCCCCCAGTTGCGGTGCCCAGGGGATCAAGGCAGCCTTTGTGCAACAGAGACAAATGGCCGCCCTGGGTGCGGGGCTGCGGCCCACTCGCCGGTGCAGGAAGCCCCACCACAGCCAAGGAGGCTTTTAATGAGAAACGCCCAAGATATCCATGGCAGAGGCCATCGCTCAAAGCAGCTTGCCCTGAATTACATATTTTCTGACTGCAAATTACTTTTAACAGCGTCTCCACCGTCACTTCAATTGACCTTCCTAACAAAAGGCCATTTATTAACTAGCACTCCAGGCTGCCCAAGCTGCTGAGCCTCCAGCCAGAAGGGAGGGCACGGTGCATCCTCTGCAGCCCAGGCTGCAGCCAGGGGAAGAAGAAGGGTGGATGTGAGCCTGCACATGGAATCTGAGGGGTGGGGGACACGGGAGCCTGGGTGTTTAAGACCAATTTTAACCTGCCTGCAGGATGCGAGAAAACACCAAATCTACTTGCAGCAGCTCCTCATCCAGTGACACCAAGACTGCACAAAACACGCAGACATACCTCTGCTTTGTTTGTACAGCACTTTGCAAACCTCAAAAAACGTTCTCAGGCTCCTTTTCAGTTGATGCTCACATCACACCTGGGATGTGACCGGGCCATGTTATCTCCCTATTTTACAGGAGAGGAAGCATCCTGAGTTCTCAGACACTGCAGGGATGGCGGCTGCAGAGACATGGCCTCCCTGGTCTGGCCTGCTTTCCATTGCACTGTGCGCAGAGAGCAGCGACCCGCCCAATTGGAAAAGCAGTTTCAACACTAATTATATTTTAAAATGCCAAAGCTCTTCTTTCTCTGGCCACAGCTCAATAAGTCAAGCAAGGGAGAGAAAAGTACAGAAAGATAAAAGTAACATGGGATTAATTTTCCTCACACCTCAGTTTCAAGATTCAACATTCCCCTCATAAATAATTTACAACAATAAAAATGAGCTAAGGCCATGTTTGTGTAGGATGGAGGTAAATTCAGGCCTAATGAGGGAGATCCGAGCACAGCACAGGAGGGAACAGGTTGATGAACGGCCTGGTGCATGCAGGATCGACAGCACACAGGGGCTCCATTACCAGCCACAAGCTGCGGGGCCAACCAGGAGCAGGGGAGCCCACTGGGAAACCTTGCCATCCAGCTGTGGCACAAGGAGGGTCTCTACAGGGAAAGCAAAAGTGGACCCAGTGTTTTGAACAGCAAGACAGTAGAACTTCAGTGTTAAGCAGGTCTGAATCCAAGTCAGTTCTCAACAAAGGCCAAGGAAAGAAGGAAGGTGGGGGCACAGAGGGGCCCATCTGCTCTGTCTGCTCCAGATCATAGTGACACTGACCTTGAGCTGTCCTAATTTAGCCTAGGGGTCATCTGGTTTCAATCCCCACCCAACCTCTACCTTGAGTAAGCATACAGCCTCTGCAAGGTCATTTGCAAGCTGGGGGCTGCAAAGCTTAGCTCCAGGCAGCTGTTGGTGTCTGATCAAGARGTTCTACCCCAAGGCATGAGTGGGTGTGTGCCTGATCATGTGCGCACAGGTGTGGCATGGACTGGGCAAGATGAGGAGGGTTCACCTGATCCACGGTGCACTTTGCCTGGCACACCATGTTTGATGCATACCGTACACGGGCCGGGAGGAACCTGCTGCCTGCTCTTGCTTGCCCTGCTGCCAACAGCACTGGGAGGCCCTCATGCCAGCATTGCAGCACCTCACCGATGCTGTCATCCCAGGTTCACAGAGAAATGAACTTTAACTATGAAGCCCCTTCACACAGCCGGCACACTGCTCCCTTGTAGCTGATCAAAGAATTACCACAACAGTGTGCTTAATCCCTGAAAGTCAGCAGCAGGGCTTCACTGATGCTGAACATTGTTTCGGAATCAAAGGCCTGCCTCCCGGCCCCAGCCTGGGAGAAAACTAAGCTACTGTATCACAGCTGAAAACTCAGGGGAACTTTGATATCATCTCTGTTTAATTTCCACGGCCCTAGTGAGCCTGGGTTTATCTCATTCTATCAACTCCAGTACTGAAATCCAAACCCAACTAACAACACGCAGCCCTCTCTCCACCGAGGCCCTCCCAGCAGCGGGGTGTGGGTTGAGTTTAAAGTGCTTTCGGGGGGCAATGACTGCAGGGGGCAGGGGTGCTGCCTTCAAAGGAGGCATCGGGCCTCCCTGCCGCGCAAGGGAGGCTGGCTCAGAAGCAGGGCCGGCAGCCCGCCAGGGCCAAAGGCATGACCGCACAACTTTTGAGGAGAGTGATTTCAAAGTATTAGGGGGGTAGGTCAAATCGGGCTACYGTAATTGAAATGACAAAACCAGTGGGTTAATTAAGTCCCTACAGAAGGATGAACTTGTGATCAGCTTGCTTGAAATCCAAAGTCAAGGGCACCAAAGACTTAAACTGCCATCCCCTKCGGGGCTGGGGAGGTAAGGGAATGAAAACTTAACTCACCCTGGGGAAGGACACAGAGCCGGGTTCCCACTAGGACTGGGCTGTCCCAGCAAACACTGCTGCCACAGCCAGTGTCCTGGGGAGGCTCTCGGCCCGTTTCCCAGCTGTAGCAGTGGTCTGCAGGAATCCTYGTCCTTGTCCCCTTTGGTGCCTCAAGAGTACTAGCACCTTTCTCCTGACAGATTCGCAAGAAGGGTCAAGAGGACATGGCATAGCCTCAAAGGAAGGAACCAGTGGCCAGGCTTCACCAACATGCACTGCCACACACACACACAACCAGGCCACCTCCTTGAGGCAATGGTGCAAAGACCCACTTCCTCAGAAGGCTGCAGCAGTGGGCAGGCACCCAG